AGTTCTTGTCATGTAACCTTTGCATATGTATGTATATCTAGTTTATATATTATTTTAATCATTTACATTTAATACATTTATACTTAACATCTTGTACTTCATGTTTATATTAATATTTATTTATGACATTGTGTTTGTAACACAATGTTGTATCTCAATCCTATCGAACTTTGCAAAACTTCTCGAAATTGTCATCTACAATCGCGAACATTCCTCACTTCGTAATATCATATCTCCGCAACAACATGGATTTATGTCAAACAAATCCACCATAACAAATTTAATTGTATTGACCCAAAATGTTCATGATGTCTTAGATAATTGTCGTTAAGTTGATGTGATATATACTCATTTTGCTAAAGCATTTGATCGACTTGATCACATGGTTCTTCTACAAAAACTCCACCAATTTAGTTTCCATAATTCAGCAGTACTTTTATTCTTTCTTCTTCTTACTTCAACGCAAACAGTTTAAACCTTATAACGGCTATGATTCTTTTTATTACAATCCTTCATCTGGAGTACCTCAGAAGTCGAATCTCGGACCACTTCTGTTCCTATTATTTATTAATGACCTCAGTAATTATGAATAACTTTTTTCGTGATCAATTGCCCTAACACCAAACTGATATTTTCGCACTTGACGCGCGTTTCGCCAACAAAGTTAGCATCCTCAGTAATTATGTCGATTGTAATAAGTTATTCTTGCAGATAATTTGAAAATATATTTACCTGTGGAAACTATCGAAAACTGTAATATATTGCAATGACTGTTGTTTTCTGGTATAGTTTTTCTATTTTATTTTATTATAGGCATTATAATTTTGTTATTCATTTTGTCAAATTGTAACTTCGTAATTATCTGTTTAAATCTGTTTAAAATCTGTTTTTCCGTTAATCAGCTGCCGCCCCCATACGAACGACAACTCTCAGAAGTTGAGAGACTTGTGCGAGCTAAGGACTAACGAGGTCTTACCTTTCAACGTGTGATTCCTAACACGATCCTATAAGGATCTATAATATTATTATAACCAATTTTATTCTTAAACAATAAACGTATTATCAATATAATATCAGCTGACCAAAGAGCATCAAATGTAAAAAATGTATTCCTCAGTCATCGGTTCTGTCAAGCAGTATTTGAAAATACTAGAATGAATAGATGTTTAGATAATTTTTTTATAAATTTTGACGATGCAATAACAACAGTAGTTGAATTAGGAGTCTCAGATCATAGGGGTCAACTGCTACAACTTACTGAAGATATACACAAGGCAGTTCCCAGTAGTATCAACAGAACAAAAAATTATTCTGAAAATAATATTCAACAAATGTTACACTACCTTATAAATGAAAAATGGGAAAACGTTTTTGAAAGCTCAACTGCAGATGAAAAATATTCAGCTTTTATTTCAACTTTCGGCTATTTCCATAATATATGTTTCACTTCAAAAAATGCAAGACCGTCTATCAGGTCAACATCACACTGGCTGACACCAGAAATTCATGATGCAAAAAACAGATTAATGTTCCTACACTCTTGGCAGAAACAACATCCAACTTCTGAAAACTCGAAAATATATAATGACTATAAAAAGAATTATTACAAACTGTTGGACAGTACCAAACGTACACTG